TTGAGGGACCAGACTGGCCACTCAGCTCCAGGTGAGAAGGCAGGGGCCTGAGCTTGAGGGAAGCCTGGGGCGGGGTGGGGGGGTCTGCGGGGAACTCGAGTGAGACCTCAGGGCTGGGTCCAGGGCTTAGGACAGCGGGACAATGAGCCACAGGGGGAAGGGAGGGTTGGCAAGAACGGAGGGTCTAGACAAACCTTGCCCATGTTGAGGGGTTTGTGGGAACTCCCACCCACAGCATACAGAGCCATGTCCACGGCCCCCAACGCCACGAGGGCCGGAGAATCTGTTTGCAGGTGGAGCTTTACAAACTCCCCAGGACGATACTCCTTGACGCTGTCCACGTTCAGCTCCAGCTGGCAGAGGCGGGAGGAGGGGGCAGTCAGAGTGGGGAGAGCTTCTTTCAGCCCTGTGTGTCCTCAGTGTACCCCAAACCAAATCCATGCCCGGCTCACAATCACTGTCTTCTTTCTCTCTTGACCCCCTAACGCACAGACACACCACCTCTCTGAATGCCAGTTACCTTGCCCTCGCAGGCCCCTGCCTGGACGTCCACTCGCAGGGAGTTGGCCACGGGGATGTCCCCATGATAGTAGAAGGCCACAAGGTAGAAGGAGGGTACTAAGTGATGGTCCACAAACACGGAGACTGAGGTCAGGTCCGTCCTGGGCTCTCGAGTCATAGACACAATCCGGCCCCGGGAAAGGATCTGGGGCAAGAGTGGTTTCCTCTTCACTGCACACCCCCAATCCTGAAACCATTCCCTCCACCCCAAGGGCTCTCTCTTCCCTGAGATCCTCCCTGCACCCTGCCCCCTGCCCCCTGCCCTCCCTCCTCGACAGCCCGGCCTCTGCGCACCATGTAGTAGTAATGAGAGAAGCTGTCCTCACTGACGCCCACAGCTCGCAGGTTCAGGATGAGAGTGTCCCCGACGTGAGGGGGTCGAGGATCTGGCCGCTCAATGGACAGAAACCTGGAGTGTCCTGAGGGTGGGGCTCTCACAGTGAGCCTGGCTACGGCTGGGTGAGGGGAGCCTGCAGACACCTGGAAAGAGGGGCAGGGCAGGGGTAGGGTCAGTAGCAAGGACCCCAGGCCCAGCTTCTTCTCCCAGCCCGGGACGTGGATTCTCAGGAAGCTGGCCAGCCTTTCTTTCCTTCCCCTACCCTGTCCCATGAGTGGGACCTACCAAGAGCCGCACTTCTGAGATGGACTTCGACGTAACGATGGGAACAATGACTCGACCGCTCCCATCTGTGTTCTGTTCAAGGTCCTGGACTTTAGAAGCAGATCCAGAAGACAACGTGGCCGAAACTTTGACAGGGATGCCAGAGGCCGGGAAACCAGATATGTCTCGGACCAGGGCCTAGGTGAGCGGGGGAGGGACAGATAAAGGAGACTGCTCAGTGAGGCCCCATGCCCTCCTGACAACACCCCACCCCCCACTCATCCTCCCCCTCCAGAGGAAACCTGCAGCAGAAAGGGGGCCCCAGGCACAAGGTGTCGCTTGGTGTTGCTAAGATCCAAGGAGAAGGGAGATGACACAAAACGCCAAGACGTGAGCTCTGCTTCCTCCATCTCTCCCCCTGCAAGAGATGGGGCAGAGAGAGGTGGAGGACAGAGAGCCACGGAGAGAGGAGCGGGAGAGCCGGGGAGACGAGAGCTTGAGGGTTTCCTGCCCACGAGACACTCAACTCCTCAGACTCGTCAGGGCACGGGCCATCTTGTATTCATCTCTGTATGCTGAGGCCAGCAGGGGACCCAGCACACCGATGGTGTGTAACTCGTGTCTGCCAGATGGACGGTGGGTGGGTGAAGAAAAAAAAACTGAGATGGCGAAAGGGGTACCTTCTCCTGAAACCACCCAGAAACACAGCTGGGGAGAGACAGTCTCCTGGGTCTGTCCCGGCCTTGGGTGCAAGAAGAGGGTAAGAGCAGGGAATGGTGTCGATGCTGGAGAACAGAGGTCAGCTCGAGGTCAGAGGCTGGGGGCTGGGGTTACGATCAGGGAAGCCTCTCACCTGGAGACTCAATGATGGCAGCTGCAACATAGAGGTGCAGCCCAGGGAGGTCGGCGATGCTAACCTGAAGCTTCTCCAGGGCACCCTGAACCTCAGCCTTTGAGAGGGAAATATGGCACTGGCCGTCTACCAACTGGGGCAAAAAAAGAAAACAGGGCCTGGGGTGAGATTTGTCGCCTCCCTCCCCTCCCCCATGCCCCCCTCCCCTCCCCTACGCCCCCACCCTCCTTCCTACCTTAGCCTGACTCTCCAGTCCCCGGAGGAAAGTCTTATGGCCACCCTCACCCAGGAGCCCGAAGCGCACGTAAGCCACCCCCTGCACCGGCTTCCCATAGATGTACCTGCCCGGGGAGAGAATGGGAAGAGGGCGGGTCTAGGAAATAAGGCCAATGTCTGGGGGGGCGGTGGGGGGGAGCGGCGCTGGGGCAAGGGGAGGCAGGGCTTCACAGCTCCAACCCTGGGTGCCCGTGGGGCAGGGAGTTACCTGGCCTGGACGTCTAATTGGATATCATCAAGAATGCCAGGTGCTGTCAGGATGTAGGGCTTTCCAGGAACAATCTTCACCTCGAAGTTGGGAAGGACTGACCCAGGGTGAAGGGGTGGCAGGTCAGACTAGTGAAAGGACGCTTCAAAGACTTCCCTCCCCTCAGGGCTGTGGCACCTATACCTCCCTGCCCCTGCCCGGCCCCCACCGCCTCCTCCTTCTATCCCTATTTCCTTTAGGAAAGGAGATGCTCATCCCGCGCTGTCTCCAGCTCTCACCATATTTCTTCACCTCAAACTGGGTGCTGCTGTTAGAGTCTCGGCCATCTGAGAACCGGGCTGTGATCGTCCACGTCCCTGGCCTACAAATAGGGGAGGGACTCAGCCCACTTGTGCAAGAGGCCCACGGCGAGCCAGAGGACTGACTGGGGGAAAACCAGAGCTGTCAGGGGGGCTCGAGGTCTGACTGGGAGCTGGAGGCAGAGAGCCAAGGGAGATGGGCATGGGAGGGGCCGTCACCAGATCGGGGGAGCTCACTCAGAGATATCGGGAATCATGAAGTCATCCTGGAAGATGGAGGAAGCGTACACTTCCCTCTTCCGCACACTGAGGCCATGAGAGTTCTGCAGTGGGAGTAGACATGGTCACGGGTGGGAGGTCAGATCAGCAGCCCTGCTGATCAAGGTCACAGAGGTCAGGGACTCACCTCTACTGTGACCGTAAGGGTGTCAGTGGATGGGCGCATCTTTTGATCCAGAGCAAAGATCCGGTACCGAACTGGGAGAGGAGAGCAAGAGGTGAGCAGGAATCCATTTGCAAAGGGTGGACCTCGGCCCCCACTGCTTCCAGGGAGTGAGGGGGAGGACGACAAATATTTGCCAAGCAGCCTTCCTGTGTGGCACGTTCAGGCTGTCTCACTTACGGGGTGCCAAACATGCCTTGAGCAGGCTGGGAGCCAAAGGTAGAGGCCCTGGGGCCCGACTCACCCCGCTGGCCAGGGTTATAAATGGGCTGGTCGGTCTGCAGAAAGAGGTGCCCCCGGCGCGAGGAGAAGAGCAGGTTGACGCCCTGAACGTCTGTCTTTCTGGACAGAGAGTTCTTCAGCCATGGTGACTGGGCCACCAACTGGACCTCGGGGCCACTGAGGAGGCGGTGAAGGCCACAGGTCTCTGCATGTTTCGGGGAGATCTGTGAGGAGAGGGACAGGGAGGGGGAGCAGGTCAGAGACAGAGTAGAAGGAAAAAGCCAGAGATGGAGATAGAAACAGGAAAGGCGACAGTGTGGGGAGTGGGGGGAGAAGAGAAGGGGAGGGAGGCCAACGAGATGACAAAACACTTCGAAGACAGAGAGGGGCACGGTGAGAGGCACTAAGAAGCAGTAGAAGGGAGTGGAGGCTAGTTACCTGGAGGCTAAGGAGTATGAAGTCTTTCTCTGAGCTGAGGGAAAAGTCCACATTTGGGGAGCAGAAGGCATTCAAGTTGGATGGGTTTCTCAGGAACACTGATCCTGTCACTACCTGTCCCGGGGGAACATCCTTGAGCTGCACCCCCACTGAGAGGGGGACCCCCAGGTGAACCACGGAAGGCGAAAACAGGAGCAACCTAGGGAGAACAAGAAGGGGTCCACATTCAGCACCACTGGGGCCCCTCCATCCCTCGCTCCTCCATCAGGCCCCCCATGTCTGCTCTCCCATCACCAGCCCTGTCCCACTCAAGCACTAGTGTCCTTCCTCCAGGACCTGGGCTTCTGCAGGGATAAGGCGAAGAAGCTGGACACCCAGATCAGCCCCCAGAGGAGCCTCATGGCTGGAGGACCCAAGAGGGATCAGATCCGTCTGTCTGCCTGCTCCTCTCTGGTCAACCCAGGGCTTAGAGCAGATTTGACTCTGGACCTTGCTCCTCCCCTGGCCCAGCTCAGCCGGGAAACCATGTGACAGGCAAGAAATGCAACTGGCCCCAGGCCCAGTATTTAGCAGGGGGAGGGGGAGGGAGGACAACACCCCGGACACCTGGGTCTCTGAGGGAATCTGAGAAAATCACGGCCCAGAGTTATGTCCTGTCCTTCCGTGTTAACCCCTCTCATCCCAGTGCCCTGGGCAGCCCCCCTACTGGGCGTATCTGGGTGGACACACACACACACACACACACACACACACACACACGCTCCAGTATGTGTGGGCATAGGAGTCCAATGTGGCTCAGTACATGGTTGGAGACACATGGCTCCTTTGTAAAAATCTTAACAAAACAAGGTACAAGACACTTATCTCTAACTACATCCCCCACAAAACCTGAACGACACCAGACCTTTGCTTTGTGTAGGCCCTAACAGAAATTCTGTGGTTGAGATCAGGCTATACCTCTACCATCCCACAGGGAGAACTGACCTCAGTGTCCTTTCAGCTCTCTGAACAATGAGGCAAAGCTCAGGCTCAAGTTTGGCTTTGACTCTACTCCCACAGAGGTGCCCAAATACACATCAAACAAAAGACATCCAGGAAATTGCACAGGCAGAAGTACTTTATTTGGCAGTTTTACCTCGACGTGAAGGACAGAGGATTCTGCCCTCCCTCACCAGCCTCCCCAGAAATCCCGTCTTCCTATCCCAAGGGAGTGACAGCAGTACTTTGCTGCAAGGAAGGCAACAGCCACAGCCTTGGAGTGCTTTCAGGCTCCACTTCCATGGAAGGGCAGAGGAGCACTGCCCAAACCCCACCACTGGGTCAGAGCCCAGGTAAACAGCAGCAATCACGTCTGACGCTTTGTGCAGATACAAGGCCAACACTCATCCGGGCTCCCACGCCTTCCAAGGTGACCCTGGTCTCAGCCACCACCGGACAGTACTCCTGAGCCCCTCTCACCCCACTCTGGGGAAGTATGCAATGGCAAGCAGAATCCTCACGTCTCTGGCAGGCGGAGGAGAGTTCCAGAAGTGGTGGAGACACTGTGCAAAAGAAAAGATGAGGCTGGAGCCAGACACCCAGGCCAAAAGTCTGGGGAAAACTCAAGACCTTGGCCTGGGATTTTCCAGAGGGAATCCAACCTTGGGTCACTGCTCGGTCATCTGCCATAGGCTGGGGGTGAGACTCACCAGTCCACCAGCTGGGCCCCAATGAGGTCATGCACATGGTAGGTGAGGCCAAGTCGCACTGCGGCAGGCGCCCGCCGGCCCAAAAGCTCTGATAGGAGTAGCTCCCGGTACTTGGCCTTCCGGACCATGCCAAGGACAGCCTGGCGCCCTGGAGAAATGGCACAGGAGAGGGGAAAGGTAAATAAGTCCTGGACCCTGAGGAGCTACCCAAAGGTGTTCTTGAGCCGGTGAGGGCTTGAGCTGCGGATAGAATACCTTTAACAAAATATTTAATGAATCTCCCAGCTCCAGGCACGGCCAGCCACCAACTCCCGGCATCTCGGACGGTGAGGACTCCAGCATTCACTAGCTGCCTAAGGAGGGTGGGAAGCCAGGAGAGAGGAGGCTTGGGCTTTGAGAACACTCTCCTTGCCCACTGATGTTTGGACACTGTCTCCCCAAAACTGGGCAACCATGCAAGGGGACTAAGTAACAGAAGCCCACCCTGGAGTGGTTCTCTGCTCACACCCTGCTGTTCGGTACCCCAGCCCTTGCTTCCATTCCTCTACCTGGATTGCCCCCCACCCCCACTCTTTCTTTTCCCATTACTATTACTTGTTCAACTAAAGCAGCTTCTCCTCTCGGAAGCTCTCCTTGACCACGTGCCCTGACACAGCCTCAGCCCAACCCCAGGGGAGAAACAAGGGCCCTTCTTCTGTGCTTCTGCCACTGCCTACGCATGCCTCACCAGGGCTCCTCCCACGTCTTACTAAGTTTATAAAATGCTTTCACATGTACCTTGGGTTACAAAGTAGGGAGCCTGAGCCACGTAAGGCCCCCTGAAATGGAATTTTTACTTCGCCTTTGTCCAGTCACTACTTTTGAATGTGAAGGCTTTAGGGGCATCCAATCTCCTACCGTTCTCTTATTCTTTTAGTCTCAGCAGGGTTCACGTCAGGCATTTATGGTGACTGCCAGGACTCTAAATTCACTGGATTAGCCACCCAGATCTCTTGAATTCTACCCTAGGGCTCTTTCCAAGGCTTCAGATAAAATAGGTCTCCTCTCTCAGAGAAGTACAAATTTAGGTCATTTTCCTAAAAAGAAGAGTCCATCTTTTTGGCAGGTGCACCAGAAGGACAAGGCTGGATAGGACTGGAAAGAGGCAGGGAAGTATCAGATGCCTGAGTTCTGTTGTTTCCCCAAGTCTCACGTGATCTCTGGGTCCCTGAAGCCGAAGGTCTGTGTCATTTGGTCTTGCTGGAAGCTAAGGTCCCCACAGGCTGGAAGTACTGAAGCCAGAAACTTTTGCACTGCCCCAGCATATGGTCGGCCATCGCAGGCCTTGAGGACCTGGAACCAGAGATGAGAGATGTGGTCTGGCCCCACCCTCAGCCTCCACTGACCACCTCCACGACATTTCTCTTCCTGTTTTCCCTTTCGCTCATGTCCTTCTACCTCTCATACTTTTCCTCCTTTTCTTCTCCTTTATATTACTACTCACCAGAGCCCTGTGTCCTCTCTGTGACACGTAGAGTGGGAGAATTGTTTCTTTTTCTTTTTATTTCCATTCTCCCATTTCCCTGCTTGCCGCTCCCCCCCGCACCCCACGCACACACACAGTTACACGCACTCTGGTCCTGTAGTCCTCAGTGAAGATAATTCCATGGGCGTCCAAGTCAAAGCCTAGCTGGATGATTCTGATCTCCCCCTGCTCTTGAAGCGCCTTCTGCCTCCAGAGAGATGGGAGGAAAAACAGGGGTATCAGGGTAAGATACTCTGGTACACTCTGGGCACTTTTGGGCAGGGAGATTTTATTGCCAATATTGGGAGTTTTTCTCTATGCAAAGGAAAACCTGTGGGGAGAGAATCAGGGTGGATTACTAAATACAGTCTTTTCAAATTAGTTACCCAGCTTCCCATCCACCCACCTCATCAGCTGCCTATCAAGCAATCAATATATATTTTCCAATCATATGCCAGACATTAAGATAAAACAGTGATTAAGACATAGGCCCTGCCTTCAAGGAATGAATAGTCAAGACTTTGGGTGAAGGAAGGTGGTAAGGTAGAGAGAATATTTGAAGAGATAATAGCAAATCCATAATCACAAAAGTGTATCACTCCACCTCTCATAAACTCAGAACAGACAAGAATAAGTGAGGAAATAACTTCTATTACCTTTAGTTACTAAGAAATTAACAACTGAAAAATACATATTCTCTTCAAGTATACATAGAACATTTAGCAAAACTGACCACATAGTACAAAGCAAGTCTCAATAAACTTCAAATGACTGAAATCATATTGTGTATGGGGTCTCTGAACACAATATCATTTGTGTCAGAAATTAGTAACAACTAATTGTTGACAGGTAATATGGAAATGCATAAAATTAAGACAAACATTTCTAATCAACCCTTGGTCAAAGAAAAAAGATCACAAAAAAGGGGCGCCTGGGTGGTTCAGTTGGTTAATTGACTGCCTTCGGCTCAGGTCATGATCCTGGAGTCCCGGGATCGAGTCCCACATCGGGCTCCCTGCTCGGCGGGGAGTCTGCTTCTCCCTCTGACCCTCTTCCCTCTCGTGCTCTCTATGTCTCATTCTCTCTCTCCCAAATAAATAAATAAAAAAAAAATCACAAAAGAAGTTAGAACACATTTTAAACTGGATGATAACTAAGATATATGCCAAAACTACATATATATCTGCACATGCTTAAAATAAACTACAACTTGACATGCATATATTAGAAATGAAGAGAGGATGAAATTAATGGGAAAAAAAGTAAAATAAACCCAACAGTAGAGGGAAAACACCAATAAAATAGAAAACATGTGTACAAGAGAGCAACAAAGCTAAACATTAATTCACTGAAAGACTATTAAAATTGGTAAGCTACTGGTGAGACTGACCAAGAAAACGGGGCGGGGGGGGACGGGGGCGGGAACAGACTAGAAAAAGCACAGATAATTAATACAAAGAATGAAAAAAGGGTCACAGCTACACAACCGATAGACAAAATGAAACTACAAACTTTGTGTTAGTAAATTTGAAAATTTAGATGATAAATTAACAATTGCCTAGAAACATACAATTTTTTTCACTAGAACAAAATGAGACATATTCACAAAATAAAAATCTATGAAAGCGGGCACCTGGGTGGCTCAGTTGGTTAAGCGACTGCCTTCGGCTCAGGTCATGATCCTGGAGTTCCAGAATCAAGTCCCGCACCGGGCTCCCTGCTCAGCAGGGAGTCTGCTTCTCCCTCTGACCCTCCCTCCTCTCATGTGCTCTCTCTCATTCTCTCTCTCAAATAAATAAATAAAATCTTTAAAAAAAAAAATCTATGAAAGCAAATGAACTATTGCTACATGAAACGGAGAATTTCAAAAGTATTCATCTAATGAAACAAGACTTAAGTACAGTAATACATATATACAGTATGATTTTGTTTATATCAAGGTCAAACATGGATAAAACTAAGCTATGCTGTTTACAAGTAAACACAAACGTGGTATAAAGAAAACCAAAGGAACAATTATCATACCAGTCAGGATCATAGTTACCACCAAGGGACAGAAGTCCTTTTGATCGGAGAGTGATATATGGAGCTATAGTCAGCCTTGGGCGGTGGTTAAATGAGTATCTGCTTTATGAACATTCTTTAAATTGTGTGTGTGTTTATATTTTCCTTTGTGCAATTTTTAAAGCTTTTTTAAAATTTAGGCTAACATCAGTAAATTAAAAAAACAACAAATACTCTATAAGGAGTGGTTCCATCTAACTCACTTCCTCATGAGAGTGGAGCTAGTCTCCATCTTCCTTTTCTTCCTTCTTTTCGTCCTGACAGGTTGCCATTAATCTTCCACCCGCTAAATCCAATGGACAGATTTCGGATATTATTTTACTTAATCCCTTTACTGACCACTGCCTTAAATCACAGGTTCTAACACTGCCAACTGCTTTACCTCTTTGAAAATCTATTTGCTTTCTCAATAGGCCTCTTCCTAGGTTCCCCCGAACTCTGGCAATTCCTTCTCAGCCTCTACCAGAGACTCCTCTTCCTCTGCTTTTCCCTGACATGAATGGATCCCAAATTTTTTTTTTTAAAGATTTTATTTATTTATTTGACAGAGAGAGACACAGCGAGAGCAGGAACACAAGCAGGGGGAGTGGCAGAGGAAGAAGCAGGCTTCCCACAGAGCAGGGAGCCCGATGTGGGGCTCGATCCCAGGACTCTGAGATCATGACCTGAGCCGAAGGCAGACGCTTAACCGACTGAGCCACCCAGGCGCCCCAGTGGATCCCAAATTTTAAGGAACATTCAGAATCACTTGAGACAGTAATTCAAAATGTAGATTCCCAGATCCTACCTCAAGAGATGTGCGTCTATCAGCCTTAGGTGAGTCCCAGGAACTTTTATTTTTGATTAAGTAGCCCAGGTAAATCTGATACAGGTAGAACTCAGGACATACTTTGAGAAACACTGCCTTAAACAGGGGTATCTCTCGGCTTTGTAGATTTGACCCTTTCTCTCTAAACTTGAGGTCCTTAACCTGGACCTCAGAGGACCTATGAAACAACCTTCCCTCCCGCCACAAAAAAATGCATATACACCTTGTATGTATGTGGCATGTATGCATTTTCTTGAAAAGAGAGAGCCATAGCTTTCATTATCTTTTAAAGTCTGTAAAAAGGTTAAAAATTACTCCTCTACTCACTCTTCTACCCAATCTCACCGACATCCACAGACTGAACCACTGCTCATACCTCAATGACTTCAAATCTGGTGTCACTGGCCCAGAATTCTCTCCAGTCCCTCAGAGCCAACTGTCCACTACCCATTTGCCTTTGGATGCTCCCCAAGCACCCTCAACTCCACAGAATCAAACATATCAACCATCCCAACAACTCAGCGCCCTCCTACTCCATTCTCCTCCTCCTCCTCCTCCACCAACCCACTCTGTGTCATCATCCAGCAAATCTGAGTCATCCGGGACTCCTCCCTCTTCGCCACTCCCCACATCCCTCACCTTCACCCATCCTCGCCCTCCCTCTTGCACTCCCCTCATTTAGGCCTTCATCAGTTCTCCGCTGCAGTGTCTTCCTAACTGACCTCCCCATCTCATCTCACTCCCTCCAATCCACGCAACACAGCGTTCGCTCTCCTGGTTAACATTCTCTTCCAGCTCATCGCCTTCAGTGTTAAGACAAAAACAGCACTGCCCGCACAAGGCCTGCCGCGATCTGACGCCTGCCTGCATTCCCAGCGCTGTGAAGCTCCAACTATGCCCGATGACTCCGTTTCCCCAAAAGAATCGCTCTTCCACTTCCACGATGTGGCATGGTCCCTACTTCCGGAGGGTCTTTTAACAGGGTCTGGGGCATTTCCCTTGGCCCTGCAGGGCTCGGCACAGAGAGACCGAACGCCCGCTGCGCGGCCGAGCGCCGGCGGACCCACTGAGCGTCTGGGTGATGGGGACCCTCGGGAGCGCCCGCCAGGCCGGGAAGCGGCTTCCGTCCGTCGCTCCGACGCCACTCACCAGCTGCCGGTCGGCCGCCGTCCGGTCGGGCACGAGGCTGTACACCTGGCTCCTCAGCGCGATGGGCGGCAGCGCGTCCTCGAACAGGCTTCGCGGGAACAGCTGCACCAGCTCGGCGACGGCCGCGCGCGCCGACCCTGGGCGGAGAGACCAGGTCACTGAGACGGGAAGGGGGGCGGGGGGCGCCGTTCTCCCACCGCACGCCGCCCCCCGCCTCGTCCCGGGGCCGCCGCGCTTACCTGACTCGCCCCTCAGAGGATCCGCCTCTGCCTGCCCTCGTTCCCGCCGCCTCTTCAGCCCAAAGGCGTCCGGGACCAGGCGCTGCCTCTTCCGGCTCATATCCCGGGACCTCAGGCTGCCGGGGAAGAGGCCGGTGCTGAGGGAAGGGGACACGGACACAGCGTCTTCCGGCGCAGAGCAGTGACGTCAGGCTCCCGGAGGCCGGCCCGCCGGGTGGAAGAAAGATGACGTAGGACCAAAGAGGCGTCAACTCGCCCTCTCAGCCCGCTCGGGAGGAGCGCCGCCGCACGCCTGCCGGGATTGGCTTCCTCCGCCGGCGCTCGGGGCCGGGAATGCGTGGGCGGCGGGGTGGCGCTCGACTTTCCGGGGTGAAGCGCACGCCCGCCCGCGCCGCTGAGGGGTCTGCCCGCCACCGTCGCTGAATGATTGAGTCTCGGAGGGCGGAAAACCACCTTTGCGTGCCACCCCGACTTCTGGACGCACCTGCCGTGACGCCTTAGCTCCACGGAGGTGGAGGTGGAGGTTGGCGGGCTTTGAGGTAATCAGATCCTTGTTTAGAGCCCGGACAGCCTTCCTCAGCTCACTGCGTTTGGAGCATCTGGAGGAGGGGGTACCGGTCAGGGGAAAAGGTGGGATGTGCGCCTAGCCTTGGTTCTGTTTCAGGGCCAGAGCCTGGCCATCAGTAGGCTCGCCTAGTCCTGATCCAGAGTCCCCCTTTTTCAGGCCTCCTCTGTGGAAGGATAACTTCCCAACCCCCAGTTCTCAGGACCTCATGGATCGCAGAGAGAACAAGAGAAGAGCGGAGAAGGTAGAGGCAGCTGAGCCTCGGAACAAACTCCCCAGCCCAGCATCCTTGCTGCCCACAGACCCTGCCCTCTACTCTGGGCCCTTCCCTTTCTATGGGCGCCCTTCCGAACTGGGCTGCTTTTCCCTGGATGCACAACGCCAGTACCACGGAGATGCTCAAGCCTTGCGCTACTACAGCCCACCCCCTACCAATGACCAAGGCCCCCACTTTGACCTCAGAGACGGTTACCCTGATCGATACCAGCCCAGGGATGAGGAGGTCCAAGAGGGGCTGGACCACTTGCTGCGCTGGCTCCTGGATCACCGAGGCAAGCTGGAGGGGTGAGCAAAGTATAGCACAGAGGTAGATCTAGACATCTGCGCCTACCCTCTAAAATTAGGAAACCCAAAGCTGGAGTGAGTTTGGTCTTGGGAAGGAACCTAGGTTCTTCTTTGGGGAAATCGTCTGAGCTAATGTTTCTAACTCCTCTCTCTTAGGGGCCCAGGCTGGCTGGCAGGGGCCATAGTGACATGGCGGGGGCATCTGACCAAATTGCTGACGACACCATATGAGCAGCAGGAGGGCTGGCAGCTGGCAGCCTCCCGCTTCCAGGGCACACTGTACCTGAGTGAGGTAGAGACACCAGCAGCTCGGGCCCAGAGGCTTGCCCGGCCACCCCTCCTCCGGGAGCTTATGTACATGGGGTACAAGTTTGAGCAGTACATGTGTGCAGGTGAGACTTGCCCTGCTCTATAGCCCCCTCCCCCTTCCCCGGAGATTGAAAGCCTCCACCCTTGTTGCCACTTCTCTCCTTGTGCAGACAAACCTGGAAGCTTCCCGGACCCGTCTGGGGAGGTTAACACCAATGTGGCCTTCTGCTCTGTGCTACGCAGCCGCCTGGGAAATCATCGTCTGCTCTTCTCAGGGGAGGTAGACTGCACAGACCCCCGGGCCCCATCCACACAGCCCCCTGCCTGCTATGTGGAGCTCAAGACCTCCAAGGAGATGCACAGGCCTGGCCACTGGAGGAGCTTCTACAGGTTCAGGATGGGGTTGGGTAGGGTGAGAGCCCAGAACAGACAGCTGGAAAAGGGACCTGGGGGAAGAAGCTGGAGGATGGAGGAAGGGTCCTACTGACCCCTTGCCTTTCCTGACAGACATAAGCTCCTAAAATGGTGGGCTCAGTCATTCCTTTTGGGGGTCCCAAACGTCGTTGCTGGCTTCCGTAACCCAGAGGGTTTCGTCTGTTCCCTCAAGACCTTTCCTACCATGGAGATGTTCGAATATGTCAGGGTAAGGCAGCGGTGTCGCAGCTCCCACCTGCATCCCCCACACCAGGACCACAGGTCCAGTGTTCCAGGCTGCAGTCCGCCTTCCCCCCAACCCACCCTCACTGCTTGTCTTCTGCCTCCTCCTCGGCCCCCTCCAGAATGACCGTGATGGCTGGAATCCCTCCGTGTGCATGAACTTCTGTGCCGCCTTCCTTAGCTTTGCCCAGAACACTGTTGTCCAGGATGACCCTAGGTGAGGCATTCCGCTCTGCCCCTGCCCTCTGGGTCCCCGGAGCTCTCCTCCGGCCCTCAACTTGTGACTCCATGTGCCCCCTAGGCTTGTCCATCTCTTCTCCTGGGAGCCTGGCAGCCCAGTCACAGTGTCTAAACATCGAGACGCACCCTATGCCTTCCTGCCCACGTGGTACGTGGAAGCCGTGACCCAGGACCTCCCATCAGCCCCCAAGACACCTTCCCCCAAAGACTGAGACTTCAAAGGGGCTGGTCCTATCTCCGTGTGCACAGATAAAAAGCGTATTTCTAGGTGGTTCTTCTTGCTGTGTCTTTTGCCTGAGTCTCCCTGCCCAACACCTCAAGTACACACAGGTGGCTTGCTGTTTTATTACTACATTTTTACACAGAGGGAATTCACTGAGTGTACAGGCTGGCCGCAAAGACGATGTCCCTCCGTAGCAGGGTAGCCGCCGTCTCCATCTTGGCACCTAGCACAGGCTCGCCTACGAGGCGGGCTGCCCCCCTCAGTGAGCGACACATCTCGGCAAGGCGCTGGATGCAGCGGACCACCAGGCCCTCCGGGGTCCCCGATAGCCCCGCCAGCTCGGAGAAGGGCTGTGGGGGAAGCAGGGTGAGGACTGAATGTGGTAGACCTGGCCAGCCTCTCCCGAGCCAACCATCCACAAAACCCCAGTTACTCACCATGCCCCGGGCCCACTCGTATACAACCTCGACCAGCCCAAAATTCAGCTCCCCTACAAATTCCTCCACTGTCTGGTTCAGGCCACAGGCCACCTGGACCTCACCAATCCGCTTGGCCACAGCCCGGACACGTTCCACTCCCTGCAAATGGGGAAGGAGAGGCTCAGACCCTGCCTTCCTTCTCCAGGAGCAGGGAGGCCCAGGTCAAGGAAGAAGGCACGTCAGCTCTTAGGGGCACTTAACAGGGCTGGAGGGGGTCACTTGGAGATGGGGACTGGGAATGCCATAGCCCAGGGCGGGGAAGTGGGGTGGGTGTCCCATACCTGTTTGAGGGTGCTTGGGAGCTGCTCCCCAGGGTCCCCAGGGCTCTGGCAGACCAGGCCGGAGAGCAGGGCCGCAATCTCCTCCGGCCGCAGGGCACTCAGAGCGTTGTCGAACATGAGCTCAGTGAGGAGGAGCTCATGGCTGCTCATGGCACAAGCCACCCGCCCTGCCAGCTTCACAGTGCCTGCCTCGTCTACATAACCCAGGGTTCGGAGCACCTGAAGAAGGATGGTAGGTGTTGGGAGCCTGCTATCTTCTCCCTCACTAGCCCCCCGCCCCCCACGGCTGCCCCTCCCACCTCTACTCGCTGGTGATACTCTGGGAGCAGCAGCAGTGACTGATCCGACAGCAGGAAGCGTAGTCGCTCCATCTCCTTCTGTATCCGCATTCGCTCCTGCAGTTTCAGGTACTGCAGAGAGCCACCAGCGGAAGCACATTAGCCTTCCCCATGCCCCAAGGCAGGAGGGCACCAAGGACAAGGGCAGAGATGGGGCTGGCCAGTCTACAGGGGACCAGAAGGGAAACCCGCATCCCCCTGACACACCTCTCTGGGAGCTGGCGTCCAGGACCCTACCTGGGCAGAGAAGCGGGGGCTGTGCACACACTGAGCCCCCCAGATCAGCTCCTCCAGCTTGCGGGCCCGGAGCCCCCCCTCCACCACTGACACATCCTTGAGCTGCAGGTCATTGACAGGGTCAAGGGTAGGGGGCCCCGCTGGGTAGGCCTGAGCCAGACGCAGCAGTTCCTGCACAGCAGTGGTCACGGCTGCAATGGGAGGATCCTTCCTGAGGAAGGAGCAAAGTCTTGAAACCTAGGGCAGAGGCTTCTCTTCCACAGCAGCCCCAAGACCCCAGCCACACCTCTCCACACCCCATTACATGGTCCCTCCCCAGAAAAAGGATCCCTCCAGCATCTCTGACTTGAATTTCGGTTGCAGCCTCTTGCTGAAGTCCTCCAAGATCTTCTCCCCATTCACCCGGAGCACCTTGGTGGTGATGGCGGCCACATCTCCTGGCTGGAGCTTGGCCACTGTGTGGTCACAGGGCCCTGGGAAAGGGGAGAGCAGGGTCAAACGTTACCATGGACCCAGGCGTCTGGCCTGCACTGCTGTTAGGAACCCGGACTTCTGCCCCCATGTTCACCTTCAGGCAGGAACAGCTTGAATCCCACAAGATCATCGGGGTAGGGCACATCTGGGGTGGTTGGTGCCCTCTCCTGTGGGTCCTCACACACAGGCTTATCACACAAGACCAGGGTGGTAAATACCCTGTCGGTGGAGTTTGAGGAGACCTAGGGTAGGGGGGGAGGCCAGGCCAGGGCAACGTAAGGAGCGGACATCACAGAGTGCAGAGAGCAGGTGCCCACCCTCAGGCAAGGGCCACGGAGCAACTGTGGAGCCCACCAATAAGGACTGGTGACCAAGTTAGAACAGTCTTCAGAAGGGGACAAGGAGGTAGGCACAAAGTGGTGACAACAGGAAAGGAGAGCAAGAGGGCATAAAAGTACACTGCTGTGACTACAAATGCCCCCAGCCAAGTGGGGAAGATGGAGATAGGGCTCCCTCCTCCCTCCCCCCCACTCCCTCCCTCTGGGGTCCAAGCTTCCATTGCCCTCACCTGCAGGATCACACCCAATGTGTTGTGATACTCCTGATTCTTCACAACCACTACCCTTCCCGTTGAAAGAGACTTGAGCCCATTCACAGACTCCATGATGCGTTGCTGAAGAGTGGGGACGCGCACAAAGGAGAGAATGAAGGAAGCATCACAGGGACACAGAGACTAGGCTGGGATTAAGTTTAGGAGCACCCAGAGTGTCACAT